ATACTTATTCTGTCTACAAGTTATCATTCTTTACAATGACTTCTACCAGAAACACATGCTGGTGTTAACTTTGATTGTGATATTGTTAAGAGACGAGTCGATTTTCAGATAGAGCATGCACGTAGATTGTATATAATGTTTGTAAAATGGGATGTACATTATGATCACAAAATTGTCGAGACGTTGAACTACTTATGTATGTAAACGTTATCAAACTAGATGTACGACATAATTGAAGTTTTGCTGTTATTCTAACTTTTGTCTACATTAATTTTTATATATCCTTTACCTTCCATCATTTCTGCCTTTTATTTCTTATTATTTTCTCTCTTTCTCTCTCTTTTTCCATGTTTACGTTGTTTACCCGTTTAATTTCAAGGTTCACTGCACACAAAGCACGTGTTCAATCAGGTAAAAACCTCAATCATATATGTACGTTAACATATCAATAAATACTGGGTCGGTGACATCATTAAGTTTCTGTGCCTTATCATTCCATGTGCTTCATAATTCATTATTAATTTCATTGAATAATGAATACGAGAGACGTTTAATAACTCGCTCGCAGGAATGTTCAGCAAGCAGGTATTCTTGTACTGCATAGCCTGTAATATATACTCCAATGAACATGCAGCATATCTAACACAATACTGCCATCAGCCAATGTGAGTACGCAAACTGTACTCAGTTAAACGTGCTGACAAATCTTTAAGCTTTCGCAAATAGCGTTACAATTTTTTAAATAGGCTAATTTTACACATTCCATCGTTTGACTGATAGATTTCTGAAATTGAAATATCGACGATCGGGTGCCCTATATTCGTGTTCAAGGTTCACTGCAAACAAAGCACTTGTTCGAACTTTATCGCTGTGATCAAACTCAATCATAGATGTACTTTTTACATTTAAATCAATATTGTGCATTTCTTTACCATCCGTTAAATATGTAATATGCGTTTTATGTAACAAAAATACAAGTCTTTTTTTTTTGCCCTCGTCGCAGTCATCGTTAATTTTCGCACCTTATCATTCCATGCGTTTTATATTTTTCAAACAGAACTCTTTATGTGATATAAGTCCTTAAATGAGCAATATTGTGAAGGTAATGACGAAGGCACCCAGGCGTGAATTTTGCTCTACTTTTCATTCGTTGGTGCGGTAACCTATCAATCAACAATATTAAGACTGTTTTAAATGATTTACCTCCCAGTTGTTGTGTCGGAACCGGCCGATGTCAACTTCCCGATGGTGTCGTAGTGTGTTGTGTGGAATTTCATTAATTTCAAAGTGTCATATTTCACAACTGCTGTTGGCATACTGTATTTGTATAAGTATCGACAGTGATTAGAAGTTCGATATTTTGAAATTGATTTTAAACAATATGTCGGACGACGGAATAATCGAACGGACGATTGGGACAGTCGACGGCATGTCTCTGTGTAAGTTTTACGGTGAAGTAATGATAGATAATTTTCGTTATTTCATTTTTTTTGAAGATGTGTGTGAAATATTTTATCGATTATACTTGGTGAAACATAAAACATATAATTATATGATACCTTTTTACTTAGTTTTATGATGAGTCTTCCACAAGCTAACTACAATACTGTTAATGTTAAAACAGGATCGATGTTAAATATATGCTTACACACTTCTATTTCTCCCGTTAACACACACTTTTCGAACATAGAAGACATTTATCTGTGCTGTAATGTTGATATGACACCTTGTAATGTAAAGAATTACTTTGTTTGGCTGACGCAAATGTGTGTTTAACTCTAGTGAAGCTCATTTTTAATTGTAAAATATATATGCGTTATAACGCCGAATTTAAATGTTGAATTCATTGTAAAAGTATTATCAATAGAATCATTGGGTTGCTACTATTAATTTTGATACTTAACGCGCTACCTATCACCATTACAGTAACTATGACCCTAAACGCGCTAACTATCACCATGACAGTAACTATGACACTTAACGCACTACCTATCACCATTACAGTAACTATGACACTTAACGCACTACCTATCACCATTACAGTAACTATGACACTGAACGCACTACCTATCACCATTACAGTAACTATGACACTGAACACGCTACTTATCTCCATTATAGTAACTATGACACTGAACGCGCTACTTATCACCATTACGGTAACTATGACACTGAACGCGCTACCTATCACCATGACAGTAACTATGACACTGAACACGCTACTTATCTCCATTATAGTAACTATGACAATGAACGCACTACCTATTACCATTACAGTAACTATGACACTGAACGCGCTACCTATCACCATTACAGTAACTATGACACTGAACACGCTACTAATCTTCATTATAGTAACTATGACACTGAACGCGCTACTTATCACCATTACGGTAACTATGACACTTAACGCGCTACCTATCACCTTTAAAGTAACTATGACAATGAACGCGCTACCTATCATCATTACAGTAACTATGACACTGAACGCGCTACCTACCACCATGACAGTAACTATGACACTGAACGCGCTACTTATCACCATTACAGTAACTATGACACTGAACGCGCTACCTATCACCATGACAGTAACTATGACACTGAACGCGCTATTTATCACCATTACAGTAACTATGACACTGAACGCGCTACCTATCATCATGACAGTAACTATGACACTGAACGCGCTACTTATCACCATTACAGTAACTATGACACTGAACGCGCTACCTATCACCATGACAGTAACTATGACACTTAACGCGCTACCTATCACCTTTAAAGTAACTATGACAATGAACGCGCTACCTATCATCATTACAGTAACTATGACATTGAACGCGCTACCTACCACCATGACAGTAACTATGACACTGAACGCGCTACTTATCACCATTACAGTAACTATGACAATGAACGCGCTACCTATCATCATGACAGTAACTATGACACTGAACGCGCTACTTATCACCATTACAGTAACTATGACAAGGAACACGCTACCTATCACCATTACAGTAACTATGACAATGAACGCGCTACTTATCACCATTACAGTAACTATGGCAATGAACGCGCTACCTATCACCATTACAGTAACTATGACAATGAACACGCTACCTATCACCATTACAGTAACTATGACAATGAACGCGCTACCTATCACCATGACAGTAACTATGACAATGAACGCGCTACCTATCACCATTACAGTAACTATGACAATGAATGCGCTACCTATCACCATTACGGTAACTATGACAATGAACGCGCTACCTATCACCATTACAGTAACTATGACACTGAACGCGCTACCTATCACCATAACAGTGTTTTGATGATCATTACAACTCTAAATTCTAGCTGTACAGAAGTGGGTCAGGATAACGACTGTTGTATGTCACTGCAGGTGTCTCTCTAGCCACTTGTCCTCATATGACTCTGGCTGTAGGTGTCTGCAGAGACATATGACCGTGGTTATTGTGATGACGTCTAACAATTAAACAAAGAAATATCGGTTTAAGTTTAATGTTGAGTTCGTTACTCACATGATCAACACTAGAGACTGGAATTAATCTTGTTCATTATTCATGAATCATTAAAAGCTTCAAAAGGATTCGTTTCATTTGACATATTTTACTTTTTTTACCTTTCCAAATCGCGTAAACAAACATCCTGCCAACGTTGTTGACGGAAACACATGACTTGCTAGAATCGATCAGGGTAACTTAACTTTGACGTATCGATGGTGTGATTGTTAAAAGGGTAGACTAAAAAATCCTTAGCCTTTGTGTTGACTATGTATCTTAAGTGCAGAATTTAGGCCACATCAGGAAATCTAGAGAAGAAGATTAAGTGTTTAATTTTTTGGGGGATTTTCCTATCTTTATAATGTAGTTGTATAGATGGCATACACATGTACTTCTGTTTAATGCGGAATTAGTGTGGAGTAACATTTGTAACTATTGTGGGGTTACATCTGTAACTAGTGTGGGGTTACATCTGTAACTAGCTAGTGTGGGGTTACATCTGTAACTAGTGTGGGGTAACATCTGTAACTAGCTAGTGTGGGGTTTCATCTGTAACTAGTGTGGGGTAACATTTGTAACTATTGTGGGGTTACATCTGTAACTATTGTGGGGTTACATCTGTAATTAGTGTGGGGTTACATCTGTAATTAGTGTTGGGTTACATCTGTAACTAGTGTGGGGTATCATCTGTAACTATTGTATAGTTACATCTGTAACTAGTGTGGAGCTACATCTGTAACTAGTGTGGGTCTACATCTGTAACTACTGTGGGTCTACATCTGTAACTAGTGTGGAGCTACATCTGTAACTACTGTGGAGCTACATCTGTAACTAGTGTGGGGTAACATTTGTAACTAGTGTGGGGTTAATTCCATGGTGTTTATTGAATTGAATCTACAATTAATGTTCAGTTATATCTATAATTATTGTGAGGTTATGGTTTCTTAAGTCCTTACGATTGACATAATCTACTTAGATGTAGATATGTAATGCAAGTTCCTATAGTACAGTCAGGTTGGTGTGGTGTAGGCGTATGCCCTGTCCCGCTTTATTAGCACCTTTGTACTTCACAAAAGCAGTGGTAGCACAATATAATGAATCAACACATACTACGTATACCGTATTATTGCCTACAGAAATTCAAGTCTCCCTCTGGGATAAAAAAAGGGTTTAGCTCTTCATATACGCGCCCACCTGTATAAGTGCATTTATTACTAGTCAAACACAGAGATCTCACTCATTGCACATATACAAATTGTACACCTACACAAAGCATTGGAGAAGATATCAGACTTGATTTTGAACTACAGATTCGGCGTGGATAGGGAGTAACGAGAAACACCCAGCTAACAACCATGTTCCAAGTCGAATCTGTATATTCACAATACCATTTAAACTTCTAAAGCAGTCTTTTTAACGTTACCAATTAAAAAATATGACAACAAAATGTTTTGATGTTGTTACGAACAGGTCAAGCTAGTGTTCAGCTCTTGCGAAGGGCGTTGGTGGAAATCCAGTTGACCGGGGTGTTGAAGATGGCCGGAAACAGAAAGAACACATATTTGTTCTGGGGAGGAATCCTCTTCATAATGGCCTTTTATCTCCATACTCCATACCCGAACGAGGCTGCAGAACCATGGAAACAGAGGATCACCTCGGCTTCTGTTAGAATAATCAATGACTTGGTAAGATTAATTTGGCGTCTCGGTTAATTAAACATATTGTAAACGAAAAAGTGACAGGTTGCTTATCCTGTTCCCGTGTTTTTGACAGTGTAATGACCACTATATGGTATTAAGCAGTCACTTCTGAAGATCATAACATGAATGCATTGCCATTAAATGTTCAAATACCAATAATATTAATAAAAAGTAAATGAAAAAGGTATTTGAGAATGAAAATAAATCAACTAAGGAGTAAGTGAATATTCATATGTTTTTGCCTTAAAATAAAAACCGGGTTATACTCTACGTAAGTCGTTTCGCCCTTTATGTTATCAGTACGTTGCGTTTTTTATGATATAGATCAATAAAAAACACAATTTCAGTCAATCCTTTTAATTTATTCAAAGATTTCATTACATTTTATATCTATAACGGGCATTTTGAAAATTATTTACACTGTCGCATTGGCCAATCAAACCTGACGTTACAAAATAAAGTCGAACTTTTTGTTACGTTATTAGATGATAACTTAAGAATTGGCTAATGAAAATGTTAGTTTCATAGAGGATTAAACTATGCTGTTATGATATTAATGCAAACACGCCAACAGACCATCAAAAACAAGCATCTGGTCTCCAGTGTTTGAGCTGAAATCGAGTGTGTGTTGTTTCCTTTCTTCTACACTAGTATATTTGACTTCTCAATTTGTTGATGGTCATTAGATTTGATAAAATCCAATCTATGACTTTACGTTTTTCTTGCTCAGAGTACACTTGGGCAGCTCCTTGGTGTAGCGTCATCTGTCAACATATCACGAGTCCTGACCGAGAACATTAAGCACCTTAATACTGCTTCTCTTCAGAAAGACATCCTTAACAAGGTTCAGGTAGGTTTAGCAGTCTCTCATATGTACACGATAATGATGATATCTTGTGCAGCAATTGACAGCGAGTTTGATACCAGATTGTTTCATAAGTGGAAAAAATTTAAATGTCTAAATTTTTTATATCAGATAACAGAAGAAACATATGATGGCGTACCTGTGCGAGTGTATAAACCGACGGCTGTTAAGACACCCCGACCATGTATCGTACATATACACGGTGGAGGATGGGCCTTACTTAGTGTCGGTAAGTCCTTCCATCATGTTGCTACCTACTACTTTCTAATGGTTCAAATTTTCGAGGTCTGACTTAAAACTGAAAAAAATAATAAATAACTTCCGGTACAGTTCTCTTTGTAACTTTAATTTTCAATGTGTCCTGTCCTTCCACGGTTTTAATCCATTCCATTCTCGAAAATAGAGACACCCCCCCCCTTCCGCCACAAACACACATCCTCACACTATACCCCCGAACCTTACTACTTTTACTTTACAGTATAACACACATTTCAACATAATCATTCTGAAAAAAATTGCAGTTATATTGTTTATAATAAAGGAGTTAATTCAAATTGTAGAGCATTTGGTGCTTTATTTTGTCACTCCACAAACTTGTATGCCCATACTAAATTCTTTTAGATGCCTTATTTTGTCACTCCACAAACTTGTACGCCTTTACTAAATTCTCTTAGATGCCTTATTTTGTTCCTCTAATAACTTGTACGCCTTTACTAAATTCTCTTAGATGCCTTATTTTGTTCCTCTAATAACTTGTACGCCTTTACTATATTCTTTTAGATGCGTACCATGCATTTACGATGGAGTTGGCACTCAAGACTGAGGCGATCGTGGTTTCTGTAGAGTGAGTATACACGTCTTTGCAGGAAGTAGAAAACTAACTAGTCACATTGTCGGACACTATATCATGCAAAATACATCACTATAATAGATAAAGAATGTCACGTGACCATCTCTTTCCTGTTATCACTATAATAGATAGATAATGTCACGTGACCATCTCTTTCCTGATATCACTGTGATAGATAGATAATGTCACGTGACCATCTCTTTCCTGTTGTCACTATAATGGATAGATAATATCCCCTGCACATCTCTTTCCTGTTATCACTGTGATAGATAGATAATATCACGTGACCATCTCTTTCCTGTTGTCACTATAATGGATAGATAATGTCACGTGACCATCTCTTTCCTGTTATCACTGTAATAGATAGATAATGTCACGTGACCATCTCTTTCCTGTTGTCACTATAATGGATAGATAATGTCCCCTGACCATCTCTTCTCTGTTATCACTGTAATAGATAGAGAATGTTCCCAGAACATTTATTCCTTCCTATCATTGTTTTAGGTACAGATTGTCTCCTGAACATCTGTTTCCTGTTCCGTTGGACGACTGTGTTACTGCCACGAAATACATCATGCGGAACGGGAAAACACTTGGCGTAGACAGCTCAAGGGTAGCAGTAATCGGTAGGTATCTGAAAGAACCCGTGACAACATGACAAGTTTTAAGTTGGAAAAATTAGGATTCATTTCATTAGTTGTTACTGTATTCGTTTTAGGTGACAGTGCTGGTGGTAACCTAGCTATGGCTGTGTCATTAAGGATGGCAGCTGAAACACAGCTTCCAATGCTCAAGGTACAGGCCCTGGTTTACCCAGCCCTGCAAGCTATGGACTTCAACACTCCGTCATACCAACAGTACAGCGAGAGATTGCGTCGGTGCCCCTCCTTCGCTACCAAGGAGATTCTCATACGATACTGGCAGTTGTATGCATTTGGGCACGACGATTACACATCCGATTTTTACGTGAACAACCATACTACTATGGCCCTGAAGAAATCAAAATACGCCGAGTATGTTAATCAGAAACATCTACCTCCAAAGTACCATGTCGCCGAAAACAAGGACGTTCCCACAGGAAAAACTGAAAACGGAAATACCGCCAACAAAATCGAAAACATAATAACCAATCCGTACTTTGCTCCTCTGATGGCGTCTGACGAGGAGCTACGGAAATTGCCGAAAACTTACATCATGACGGCGGAATACGACTGCCTTCGTGATGATGGTTGGATCCTTGCTGACCGCCTGAAGAGTCTACAACTAAGCTGTAAACACGACCATTATGACGGGTACGAACATGGATTCGCGTTAATGCTGCATTATGATATACACGGAAAATTTATGAATAATATTGTTCAGTATTTCCAACTAAATCTGTAAATGTGTTGTCACGTTTGTCAGCTCCTGAAAGTGTTTATTATAAGCCAGTCCCTTTTCACTGATAACATATTGGCGACATAAGAATACCTACAAAAAACGTAAAACGAATGTTTTCACATCAGTGTTGGCGATCTGTTATACCTTTAGAATATAAAACATTATCTTATTTACAGCTATGTTTATATATTTGAATCGGAAAAAAATGTTGATGCATGTCGGATATCAACAAATAATACTCCGTGACGCGGCACGAATATGACATATAGTAAGTGGTTACTTCAATTCAGGTTCATTATAATACATGCAACTGACGGTCCCGATTGAGTTACGTTTTATAATACATATTAATATATACGCAAAATGGCGACCTCCTGTAAGAAAAACAACTGTTAGCAATTGGTAATGGGTTTTCCTTGTACGTATTACATATCCTCAGGTAGCATCCATAACAGACGAGAACGATGAAACCACTTTTAAAGTTCCTGTATCACCTTTTGTAGTGAAAGTGCCTATCGTGGATAAATGACTGTAGAAATAAAGTAACAAGCTTACCTGTATGTGTTCAGGATACGTCTCTCATCATTATCCTTCTAAAACATTTAACGGTTGCATTGAAATCATTATTTAATCCTTCTACTTTGAACAAAAAAGCAGAATTTCCCAAGGTTCATTTATCATAGGCTTAAACTATCTCATCCTAAAACGACCATGTATAATTGTTTATTTAAAGCCTGTTATAAAACGGACATTGCATCCACGTAATATTGAAACATTTTTTTCTAGAATAATCATTATAATGACAAATAATATTTATCATAGTGCACATATATCTAATGGCAAGTGTTTAGTCTACCTCGGATTATTCGTTGTTACTGTGTCGTATTTGTGCGTTAATTTGTAAGTAACATTACAATATTGATATAAATGTGTTTATAATGATGAATGATATTATTTTACCTACGACACTTAATGAATATATCTAGTTTCATTTCATCGTGGTAGAAATTCAATGCTTACAACGTTAAGGGAAACTCAGAATTTAGAAGAAGACAAACAGATTTTATCTCGCCTTTTTAATGAGTCAGGATATCATTTAATTTATACATTTACCTGAAAAAATAAAATGCCGGAGTGATTTCCCTTGCCAATAATCTAACCTGACGTAATGATATTTAGAGAGAGAGCGGTCATGATTTTTGTTTGTGTTCTATGTAAGTGTGTTTATTAATATGTTGTTAGTGATATTTATTGATATTATAAAGGACATTCAATGCATTCAAATATTAGAAATAACTAGAAATAATTGTTCTCACTTGCCAAATTAATAGTTTTCATATATACCAAAGATTTAATTGTATACTCTGTAGACCTACCGATCACCAAGTTCAATGGGAAATGGCAAACTCGGTACATCAGAACAAGTAAAATAGAATATATTAACAATTATGTATTGGTATGTATGCTTCATTGTATATTTTCTGTTCGATGTATAAGATAAAAACGTATTGCATATACGAATACTGAAAAAGGGTCCATTATTGTACGACAGCTGAAGTAAAACTATACGGATGAAAGCACACGTAACGATCTAGAATATAGTTCTGTACAATTTATTTAGATGATGTGCCATGTTAGATGCGAATTCAACTCCAACGGATTGGGAATGATGATGTAGAGTGTAATTTTGCAATAAGTTTCAAAACAATAATAATTTGTATCACGTGATTGTCTTTATTTTTAGTCATATGTTTGTGTATTACCTATATGTAATATAGCTTAATATTGTAGCAAACGGACATTTCTATGTCAAACTTGTAGTCAGAGCTGCTCTCCATGGCATGCATTTTTACTTCACAATGTCATCTTTGGATATGTGACGTCATTTTGTATTAATTAAATGACGTCACACATTCAGAGAAGACATTGTGGGGTAACATTCTAACTCTGACATACAAAAAATTCCGTTTACTACCATAATTGTTTGAAAAAAAATGATCGCGTGATTAAAAGGATATTTAATTTGTTGATATTCTATGTGTGATTTATCTAACTGGTCCCGCCGATAAGCCTTTATAATACTCTTAGACTGGTTTCATATATCAGATGGAAACACATTAAAGATTCCATTGTCTTATTTTCTTTGGATAACCAACTTCATTACGTCATAGAATTTTGATCTCAGAGATAATTGTCTTATGCGGAAATCTTCAAAATAATTATGGATTTGATAAAAAAAGTTTATCCTTAACAAATAATGTAGGATGTGATTTGTATCATGATGCAGTGACATCGCCTTATATGACAGCCAAAATTTTCAGGAATGACTGAATTCGATTTTTTACCATCCCTAACCAGAATGAAATTGAACTTTCTCTTATTTAAACAATTAAAGGGAGATAACTTTCTCTTCTACAACACTACATGCAACTGGTTAGTTAAGTAGACACGAGACCATATATGTGTTATTGTATCTGTTAGTTTTTATATAGTTTAAATAATCTGTGATGTTTAATTTATTTCTTGATATGTTTGATATACTGTGATTATAATATTTCGATGTTTCGATTCATTGTTGATATTCCAATGTTATATTGATATATCTTGAATCAATGATACAAAATTAAAATAAAAATGTCATTATTTAATTTGTTTTAGTTAGCTTTGTAATGTTAAATTGATAATTGTTTGTTTATTTGCCTGTTTGGTTTATTGTCCCGATAACAGCCAGGACCATTCGATAGAAGTTGGTTGACATTTTACTGAATATCATGCGAGAGGTTCATCAGATGTAACTTAGGGCAATGGGAAGACAGTACAGTGCAAAAGAACACACCCACCTATACATAGGACGGTCCTGATGTGTCCTGGAAAACAGGCAGACCCGGATAGGATCGCATCCCGGGTCTTCGCCAAAGACTTTTATTATCAGATGTTCTGCGGACTCAAAAACAGCAAGAAAATAGCTACATGTCAACATCACCTTTAACCAAACTTAAAATTTGATAAAACTAGAGCAAAATAAGACCAAAGTAAGGATTCACATGGAGACTCACGAAAAAGTACAAAGAGAACAAGACCAGGTGTTCCTGACTTTAAGCGCCTTCTGGTACATTGACGACACCCGCAACGTAAATCGTGGTCATTTCAAGAAAAAAAACCCAAAAAACAAAAGATAAAAAATAGAATATTTCTCAATGAGATCACAATGGCGACCGTAATACTTCCCGATTATTTTCATCAATCTACATCTTATGAAACACTGTGTTTCTAATTTGTCCTTCAGTTGATGACTTCTTGCACGAAAATCTTGCCCTTGAATATCGAATCTGACTACTATGGCTACTAAAATTGTACGGTATTTGCCGATATTTTTATTACTATACAGTGTAAGTGAGATGATTTAATCGATTTTTGTATCAAAAGTTCTGAAATTGAACGAGAATTCTGAAGAACTTCGTAAATAGTTCGAATTCATTGCTGACAGAAAGTTCAGACCTAACTCGTAGAAAATGTTACACGTAAAACGATAGATAAAACACCATTAAAGAATCTTCGGAACGTCTCTGACCTTTATCACTTCATTACTGTGGTGAGTAACAGTTATTTCCCTTCTGCTACATGTCTGAATTTTCATTACAAACAGTAAATTATTCTTATAACAGCTTTCAGAAAGAAAAAAACACAACTTTCAGTAAAGGATCATTATTACGTTTTTCAGCAAAAACCTCTCAATGCAAGTTTCAGTAAATAATTCTTAATATAACTTTCAATAGATAAATCACAGTACAATTTTTTTGTAAATAATTCTTGTTATGACTTTTAATTTAGTCTCATTACACTTTTAAGTAAAACTATATCACCACTTTCAGTAGAGAATTCTCTTCAGAACTTGCAGTTAGGAATTCTCTTCAGAACTTGCAGTTAGGAATTCTCTTCTGAACATTCAGTAAAGAATTCTCTTCAGAACTTGCAGTTAGAAATCCTCTTCAGAACTTGCAGTAAAGAATTCTCTTCAAAACTTGCAGTTAAGAATTCTCTTCATAACGTTCAGTAACAAAATTGTTATTACAACTTTCAGTAGATAATTCTTATTACAAAGAACAACTTTCAGCAGGGAATACAACTTTCAGTAAAGCCTTTTCATTGTAATTTTTAGTTTATAATTGTCTTTTAAACTTTCAGTAAATAATTCAAATAACTTTCAGTAATGAATTATTAGAACTATTTTCAGAAAAGAATACTTTTTACGGCTTTCAGTTAATAATTATGATTAGAACTTTCAGAAAATAATTCTTATTACATGTGCAAATTTCAGTTAAGAAGTCTCATTACAACGTGTCCCAAAGACTCTTGATTCAATATTGTCAAATCCTTTGTGATTTCATGTTTCTTCCTTCTGTGGGTAAATTTAGCTAAAACGTTTATTAGTTTGCCTGTTAAAACCTGTATGCAACATCAATACCCTCACTACACAGCGGCAATTTTAACCTCTCGCTTACAGATGTGACTATACGTTCAACACATTCCTCTGCTGTCCCCTTATCTGATGGATAGCACAATACAGCTATACGAATGAAGTTTGTACGTCCCTGCTATTCAAGGTCATTATACTTTGACTCTATGTCTCTTTGTCCAAACTATATTAGATGTTCGTCTCCAAATGATCTATGGTCTATCTCAACTGCTCATTTTCGCTTTCTAAATCAAATATCCTCTCTTCGAGTTTGTCCAAAAGCTCACAATCTCTGCTCTGACATCTTCCTTCAGTTTGCCTAACTTTGTATCTATGTAATCTGTGGTGATGAGAGTGTTGAATACGTCTAAGTTGTCGTTCCAGATGAGATGAATTTTGCAAAGCCAGTTGACGGTTCCCTCGTGATAACTGTGGGTTATCCGTGTACGTGTGTATTAGTATACTACCTTTCGCGCGTGGTTAACAATAGTCGCCATGTCGTCAACTCATTCCATTTTTACGTAGACATCGCATGATAAATTATATAGGGAACTAGGATGGGAAACTTTAAGTAGCAGAAGATATAAACATAAACTTATCTTAATGTATAAAATAATAAATAATGAAACTCCAGATTACTTAAGTGAAATAATTCAACCATATATACATGATGAAACCCAAGACAGATATCCCTTGCGTACAAATAGAATTTTTGATCCCCCATTGTGTCGCACAGTAAATTACTACGAAAGTTTCTTTCCAGGCATGTTTAATGAGATTAATATACTTGCCCCAGATATTACTAATATCCATTCCACATCTCAGTTGAAAAGGTTATTGAAGAAGAATCAATATGTAGACTCTGAAACAAATTATACTTTTAGATTTCTAGGTAATCGTGATACAAACATTATACTGTGCCAGTTAAGAAATAACGCTAGTAATCTTAACTATGATCGTTTCAAAGATCATCTAATAGAATCTCCAATGTGTGAGTGCAATCAATCTTCTGAAACTACCCTACACTTCTTTGAGTGCAATAGATATACCGATATTCGATAGACCCTACGACAGAACTTGCATCATGATACTCATAATCATTTATGTGAAAAGCTTTTATTACATGGTTGTGTTCTTTGTAATGATAAAGAAAATAGAGTCATCCTAACTCATGTTTCAAATTTTATTTCACGTTTTAAGAGATTCCCATTTTCAATGCCTAATGTACAATCATTTTAATGATTCGTGACTTTATTTCCAATACGAAGAATTATCTAATTGAATGCGGTATTGTAAACATCCTATATGTACTTTCAGAAATTCCTATTTGTCAATTAAACCCCCAGGTTGACTACTACTATAGCAGTACTACACATACCTGATGTATTAGTATGAATTATCATCTCTTACATTTTCCCTCTTATACTAGAATTAAATACAATGTAAGCCTGGTCTGGGCAGCTAAGATGACTATTTTCACTTAAGTAACTATATGAAGTAACTCCTTCTTATTTAAAAAAGCAATCTTCATATTATAAATAGCACTTGTAACCTTACTTACAAACTATGTATATCTATTTGTTGAAATTGGGTTTTAAACTCAAACAGTGTTGGCCAGTGTGTTGTGCATATGGACTGTGTGTGGCCTTATCTACTGGGAGAAAAATCTAATTTCTACAAATATTAGAACTCATCAAGCCAAAATTAAGACTATGAAACTATCTCAGACGAGATCATCTTGATTAATGCTCAAACTCAATAGTCATAACATTAGGTTACTTCCTAATATAATCCTGAACTAGTTTGTTTACAATAAGGAGTTACTTCCCCTTATGTCTTTCTTTAACAAAATTGTATATATATATATATATATATGTCTGTTTGTATGTTTACAACAGGTTGTCACCTGAAGGAGAGGACTTAAATAGGCAATGCCTTATGTCCAACTCCTTTTGACATTTGTCAATAACATTTGTTGAAATTGAAATTGAACTCATTCCATTGGTCGTAAAGGATGCTTCAAAAACTTTATTTTCTTACATCACACTTTCCTGAATTCTTCAAAAGATGAATTACATTTGTAACAGACACATCATAGTCAAAAATCTTGGTTTTAGCTTCATTAAAACAGCGCTTCCAGAAGTTTCTGTACGAGCCGAGATAATGCCAAACAGCGCTTCCAGAAGATTTTGTACGAACTGAGATAATGCCTAACAGCGCTTCCAGAGGTTTTTGTACGAGCCGAGATAATGTCAAACAGCGCTTCCAGAGGTTTTTGTACGAGTCGAGATAATGTCAAACAGCGCTTCCAGAAGTTTTTGTACGAGCCGTGATAATCCCAAACAGCGCTTTCACAAGATTTTGTAAGATCCACGATAATGCCAAGCAGCGTTTCCATAAGTTTTTGTAC